GAGAGGGGCAGTCAGCTTCCCTGCCCAGCTCCCTGCTCGGGTGGGCAGGCATCCACGTTGCACAAGTTTTACTCACATTTACCTTCAGATAATTCAAGAAGCAAAGTTTTTCCTCAACTTTCTGAAGTAAGAGTCACTAAATAATACAAGAAATGTCATTGCTTTTTATGTAAAACTAGTCTCTATAGCTTTATATAGATTTTTTTTAATACTCCCATAAGTGAAAGAACTAGATGACTAAGTTCTGAGCATGCATCTTGTTAAAATATAGTAGCATATGTTCTTAATTTCTTACCACAACGTTCGGTTAACCTACATAAATAACATAAGCAGAAAAGTGAACAGATATGTAAATGAAAGGAAAAAACAAACAAACAAACAAAAACAAAACAAAACAAAACAAAACAACAAAAAAAAAAGGAGGCAGAAATCACCAAAAATTCAAAGGGCTCAACTGTTCATAATAGTACCAGAAATAAAACCACTCTTTCACAGGATTAGGCAAGAGGAAGCATTGCAGCATACAGAAAGTTAAGCAAGACACATATTTTTACACTGCTGAAGGCCAAAGCAAACCAAGCAACTGAACTAGCACGCACTCACCCCAGCGGCTCGGGAGGGAGGCAGGGAGGCACCTTTCCCACCCCAGGGGCTCGAGCACGGCTGGGGGAAGCCACGGCCCCCCCACGGCCCCCCCACGGCCCCCCCACGGCCCCGGTCCCCCCCAGCTGCCAGCCGGGCCCTGCAGCGAGAGCCGTACCCCCTTCCCTACCCACCCCGAGGAGCTTTTAGATCCAAGGCTGCCCGGCAGCCCCGGGCGCCTGCCGGCGCTCACCGCGGCCACCGCGGGTGGAGGGGTCACTGGTTATCGGCGGTGCTCTTAGGAGAGTGTGAAACAGCTGGGGCAGAGCGATTGCTATTAGCGCCTTTAAAAATAGAGCTGGCGCTGTTTACAGAAGCACTAGCGATAGGAAAATACGTGAAGTTTCTCCCTTTTGTAACGTTTATTGAAAGAATTATGTGCTCTTTTAGAGGAGCTTTTAAAAATAAACGTAAGCTTTTCTCTGTAGGCTTTCTTCTTGATGAAGAAGGCATGTGAATTTTAAGAATCACAGTAATATTCCTTTCATCATCTTAAACATGTTGTAATTATAGCCATTATATTCAGTAAAGGGCTTTTAACGGGAATGTAATATTATGGTATATTGCCCCCCTTGTTTCTATGCCTAAATTAAGAGTGTCTTGTTATATTTGCCTCCTCTGCAGTTTTATGATAATCGGTAGCATTTTTGTTTGGAAACCATTTTCACCAGCTCACCGAGAGCAGATAACCCTAAAGAATGTTAATGCTACTTCAGGCAGTTCTATTTTTATTTACACAGGTTTTATTCAGGATAACTTCACTGATACCAGGGAACTTGATCCTGATCCACGGTGATGAAAGAAGAAAACGGTCAGGGTTCCACGCGACCGGTAAAAAGACAGAAAGGGAACCGTAAGTAATAGCTACCAGTAGAGTATAGCATAAAGAGGTGAGCTGCAGGGCCCGTAATGCTTAGTTGAAGTGTGAGATTAACAAAAAAAAAGTTGAAATATTGTCTTCAGTTTCCCTCATGCTAATTTTGACGTGATATAAAACATACAGCTCACGATGCTTGGGAATGAGAATGATCAGTTATTCCTCAAAGCATACTCATTCACGTGCAGAACTGTGGTGTTTGAGAGCAATTAGATTAAATAATACCTGATACAAATCCTTTGGTTAAAAGAACGATCCTAAAATTTCCTAAAGAATTGATCTGGCCTGTCCTAGATTAGATCAGGTATCACGTCCCCCAGGTAAATGAATGCATGTTGGCTTCGCCTGTTGAACGTCACTGCGATTTTGGTAGGACCCAGTGTAGGTGGTACTGGCTGTATGAAAACCTGGTGAGTTTGGGCCAGCGTATGTAATTCTGTGAAGTCAGAGACGGTTTAATGGCCGGTGACATTAAAGAAAACTCCGGCCTCTCGGAATCTGTGAGGAAGGAGAAAATACGCAGAAGTAAACACAGATGGGAAAAGACAAGCTCTTCCAAACGTAAGCGTGGCTGCTCTGCCTTTTGAACGTCTCCGCTCACACCCGGGTGAAAGTCACTCAAGCCTCACCCTCCCGGGGCTGCCGCGGGGCTGCCACGTGGCACCTACCCGGGGGCTAGCCGGGGCTCACGTGCGCTTCGTCCCGCTGGTCTTCCACCGTCGCACGCCTCCCGGCGCAGTGCGCACGTGGATGCGCTCCAGGTCTGGATCCGCTTCCAGAGGCGGAGCAGGATGGGGCCCCGTGTGGCGCGCAGGCTGCGCGCTGGCACCAGCGGGCTGCCAGCAGCCGGGGCGGAGGGCTCGAGGGACACGCTCCCGGCCACAGCAGCCCTGGTTTGCCCAAGGTTTCCCTCCCGCTTCCCCCAGAAAGAAGAGAACCGCCCGGCAGCTTTTCTCTCTTTTCGGATTGAAGAAAATCATTAGATCTGTTGTATATTAACCGTTTCCAGGGACAAACAGACATGAACATAGTATCCCCAGGACTTTCAGTAGTGAAGTGCCTGTCTCTTAGTAAAATACAAAATGCAGTAAGAAGAATGGAAACCAGAGGAGGAAAAATAATTAAAAAAAAAAAAAAAAAGACTAATGAATTCTTAGTGGTTTCAAGAACAGTCTGTTCCCAATAACCTCTTTGGTCACCCAGCTTGCACATTTCTCTCTTAGATGTGAGATAGAGTTATACCCAAAGATGTCTTGAAGAATAAATTATCGTAAAAGTCAGCTTTTAATTAAACTTCCTCATTTCAAAACCAAAGTGGATCTCGGTTTCCCTGGAGACCAGGATATGTAAGAAGGCAGAGCTTTCTCTCTGTTTCCCTCTCCTATGGTGGACCACTGTAGAGCAGCTTATGTATCTTACTTTTTTCTCCTGCAGGGTTAGCATCCATTACTGAATGGACGTTTTCACGAGGGGACTGTAATTGTGTCGCTGGTGGCTCACCTACTCTCCACGCACAGTTGTTCACTGCGGGGATCAGCATCTTCCACTGCACGTTAGCTGCAGAGGCTTTGAGTAGGGGTACCGGGCATGAGTGCCCACTGCACAGAAGGGGAACCCAGTCTTCAAGTTTTAGAAACAAAAAATGAATCCAGTTCTGGTACAGAGATAACGCAGACCCACCCGCTTGAACCTCCAGCACAGCTGCACTGCGGGTGAGAGCAAACACTGTGGTCTGACAGAAGGGCCACATTTAATATTTTTGGCACTAATTCTGCACCACTGTAGTTGACTGTGCACGGGCAGCCGCGACGCAGCGTCCCCTGGTCCCCAGGCTGATCCGAGGTGGTGAGCTTGTCACCCTTCTCCCAGTTTCTGTTGGTGCAGCGACAGCAACAGAGCTCCATCGGAATTGCTCAACAGGAGATGGAGAGTTAGAGATCTAAATAAATTGGAATTTATTTGTAATGGTGTTAAAATATCGAGAATGGCAAAGCTTATATAACACCATTTGTGCTAAATATTTGCAAACTAATTGCAAATTTCACTTTTCCTAATGAAGTGAGCAGCTGTGGCTGTTTTGCCCAAAGGAAGGACCACCACGACAAGATTTAGAGCCTGTTTATCAAACACCATGTTTAATGGCAGTGTTGTTTTTCTCCTCCTTTTCTTCCATACATCCTCCCAAGTCCGTGCTCATATGTCTGTATTTTCCTCTCCAACACATTCTCCTTTCATCATTCAGATGTTGTCAGATGTGACTTAAGATCACAAGCAAAAATACTGGTTTTCAAACTGGAACATCACAAACAATTTAGATAATCAAAACATAATTTCTGGGGAGAAAATACAGCCCAACACCGTTGTTAGTGGCCCAGATTCTTTCCCGTGCCACAGAAGTCAGGAGGAACTTTTCTAAACTCTTTTCCTCTTATCTCTTGGTTCTATCATCTTTGTTGGTGGCAGTTCAAAAGGCACCAGCATGGCACAACAGTCTCCAAATACCAGGTTTGGTATTTAGAGCAAGAATATCCTCTCCCAAATCAAGTCAGGGGGCAAAAATCAGGTGAATTTACACCTGACAAAATCTGTCCAATTCAATTAATGATAGACCTCACCCAGTTTTCTATTCAAGGTAACATTTTCGCTGACAATTTCAGTATTATAATTCAGATGGAAACGGGGCTTAGGTTTCAAACACGGGCACCCGCTTCCCATAGAACCCCAGGAAGTCAGTGGCTCTCGTGCTGAGTACTGAGCACAGGACCAGACTCCCGGTAGCAGTCGGGGCAGCTCCTTCTGTTCCACTCTGAGTAGAGAAAACCCTCTGGAATTATGGAATGGATTCAGATACCTGATAGCTCTTCCCTTATAAAACGAGATTAAAATTCTGATTGTCTTGGCTATGCAATAGATGGGCGTCGCGAACAGGCAGACCTCATCAAGATGATAGCATCTTTGATGACAGCAAGATGATAATTTTCTTGGGATTTGTTACGTGTTTGTTAGGACGTGTATGTACGCCTACGGTTGACTTTCTAGAAAGCAGGAGTAAACAAGAGGATGTAGTTTTGCTTAGCCTGCATTACCATCAAGAATTTTCAGCAGCACTTAGCCAGTAGTGCTGTGAATAGAACTAAAAAAAAAAAAAAAACAAACAACCAAACAAAAACCAACTTACAAGGTCTTTTATCTGCCTCCTGTTCAACTTATCTTTGTGAAGGTAAAACTACTTACTACATTTCTAATGAAGCAAAAGTTAAACAAAGCCCCATGCTGCACCCTCCTCCATTTTGCAGCTAAAGGAACCAAAAAATGTCATGAAATGAAGCTCTCCTCTGGTATTAGGACAATCACCTCCTTATTTCCCACTCTTTTTTCCTACAGTACATCTTGCAAACTTCTCGGAAAAAGACTACGATTCTATGCTATGGATTTGATTGTCCACATATTAGTGGAGAATGAGAGAGAAATGACAACTGAATGGCAGACAGACTGAAGCTGTTTAATGGCATCTTTCACGCTTTTCCTACAGAATGTAAAGGCGAGAGAAAGGAAGGAGTGAAAGCTGATAGCTCAGAGATTTGCAGTATATTTGAAAACAAAGCTATCCCTAAACAAAGCAAAAATTACTGCCTTGTATAAAAGCGTTCTGTCTTTTGAGAGTGATTCTTTCTGATTTCTCAAAGAAATATTCTTTAAGAACTATTCTTTGCCTTTGGAAAACTGTTCTTAAATTACACCCTTCAATTGTAATCCTTTTACAACTTCCAGGCTCTTTTAAATAATGACTAACTCCTAGCAAATTTTCTGTAAGGAGTACAATAGCGAATATATCCATTTCAAAACATGCTCTGAAAGAAAACAGTATCAATTTTAAATTAAAACTTAGGAAGCAGCATCTCAGAAATTATGAAAGTAATTACTGATGGTGCAACAGATACAATCTAATGGCTGAAGAGCTGTCACTCGCCTTGACATTTCTGATGTGGTCTGATAACATTGTAAGTTATTTCTGAGAAATGCATTTAATTAGACATTCTATGAGACATTTCAGTTCAACAAGCCATAAAAACCGGTGTCACAAGCATGTTACAGCTCAGCATTCTGCAAAGGCTGTAGTGACTCGGGATGAATTCTTTTACTGAGGAGCTCTGCAGCAATCCTGAGTTTCACCACCGACAGAAGAGCAGGAACTCTCTAGAGCTAGCGAGACACAGACACTGATTATTTAGGCGATGTGGCTTTTCCATGACGTCGTGCTGCACGGAACAAAAATGCAGCATAAGGCTCCTTGTCAGAGCTCGCCCCCCGATTGCGTTATCGGTTCATACAGCAGACTGGCACGCTCGCATCCTTCGCTACTGGTGTGACGGCAGGCTGTTCGCCATGCGGCTGCGGGACACGCTTTTGTCCTGATTACCTGAAAGTAAAGTCACAGGCCCAGTACTTTATGGAGGAAAATAAGGATCACAGAATCGCAGGCTGGTTGGGGTTGACAGGGCCCTCAAAGCCCCCCCAGTGCCACCCCCTGCCCCGGGCAGGGCCCCCTTCCCCCAGCCCAGGGGGCTCCCAGCCCCGTCCAACCTGGCCTTGAACCCTTCCAGGGAGGGGGCAGCCACAGCTGCTCTGGGCACCCTGGGCCAGCGCCTCACCCCCCAAACAGGGAACAATTTCTGCCTTAGAGCTCATCTAAATCTACCCTCAGTTTTTAAACCCGTCCCCCCTCATTCTACCCCCACCCCCTGACCCAGAGTCCCCCCCCACCTCTCCTGCCCCCCCTTTAAGCCCTGGGAGGCCACTCTCAGGGTCCCCCCGGAGCCTTCTCTTCTCCAGGCTGAACCCCCCCAACTCTCTCAGCCCGGCCCCCCAGGGGAGCTGCTCCAGCCCCCCCAGCATCTCCGTGGCCTCCTCTGGCCCCGCTCGAGCAGCTCCGTGTCCTTCTGCTGTTGGGGGCCCCCGAGCTGGCCCCAGCACTGCAGGGGGGTCTCCCCAAAGCGGAGCAGAGGGGGACAATCCCTTCCCCTTGACCTGCTGCCCACCCTGCTCTTGAGCCAGCCTGGGATCATCTGGATGTGCCTCTGGGAAAAGGAGGCATCAGAGTTACTGTTTTAAGGCTCTGAAGCAAGTCTCGGAGGCTTCGCCCGGTCGCGGGAGGGACTCGGCAGCGCGGTGGCAGCAGCACATCTGGCTCTGGGCCTCTGCTTCTCCTCGGGGCTGCCCCCGTGTGCCCCTCCCCGGCTGCCAGGGAGCCCAGCACCCGTGGGTCCCCGAGCTCTCCTCCACGCAGGGAGGTTATCGGCAGCGACCGGCCCACGCCGAGCATCGCCTGCTGCGGGCTGCACCGGCCCAGCAGCGGGGCCGGGCGGCCGCCACCACCTTTATCGCATGCTGAAGAAACCCGGGGATCTCAGCATGCACCTGCCTCAGGGCTCACCTTCTACCTGGGGAAAAGATGGGGGTTCGGGCACCAATTATTTTTCCAGCTTTTGTTTGGTTTCTTGCATTGCACCCACTGCGGCGATCAGTGAGAACCAGCATTTCAGGCCTAAACTCCCAACCTCAGGCTTGTTTTTCTTCTCTGTATTGAAACTTCCCATGTAACATCTTCAGTCACAGTGCAATAACCATCTCCACAGCGGGGAGCTTCTGAAACGCTGTGGAATCGCTATACATCGACTTCCCAGCTACCCGCTAATTTAAATCAAGTCCTTATTTTATTACAATAGTTGAATAAAAATCAATGCAGCTGTCTTTACAGTAGTAAGGTTAAAAGTCAGCAGCGAGTACTAGTGCCTAATTTAAGATGAGCTATTTGTGCTTTCACAAATAACAACCGAACGCCGGTAAAAGGCTTGGCCATAATATAATCTGATTGCCTTTCATACTGGTTGCGATGTTTATGTATGAGTTTAAAAATAACTAAACTGTGCGAGATGGCTGCTGGCGCCGGCACTGCCGGGGCCGGGGAACCTCTCGGGGCTCAGCAGGGAGCCGCGGGGAGCTGCCGTGCCGTGACCCACCCCACGGTCGCGTCCCGGGGCACGGCCCCCGCGGGGGACCCGGAGCTGGGGGGGCGCGGAGCGGAGCAGGGGCCGGCCCTCCCCGCAGCCCCTCCGCCGGGCGGCAGGGCCGGGAGGGACCGGCTACCGGGGCTCCCCGCTCCCCGGGACACCCCCACTCCCAGGGCTTCCCGTTCCCCGGACCCCCCCGCTCCCCCGACCCCCCGCTTCCCGGACCCCGCTCCCTGCATCCCTCGCTCCCACGGCTCCCCCCGCTCCCCGGACCCCCCGCCCCCCGCTCCCACGGCTCCCCCCGCTCCCCGGACCCCCCGCCCCCCCGCTCCCCGGACCCCCCGCCCCCCCGCTCCCACGGCTCCCCCCGCTCCCCGGACCCCCCGCCCCCCCGCTCCCCGGACCCCCCGCCCCCCCCGCTCCCACGGCTCCCCCCGCTCCCCGGACCCCCCGCCCCTCCGTTCCCACGGCTCCCCCCTCTCCCCTCGCTCCCCAGATCCCGCTCCCACGGCTCCCCCCGCTCCCCCCCCCCCCCCCCCCCCCCGCACCTCCGGTTGCCGCCGCTGCCCCTCCCGCTGCCGCCGGGGGCGCTGCGCTGCGCTGGGCTGGGGGGGGGGGGGGCGCGGCCCGGCCCGGCCCTCCCCCGCGCCCGCCCCCCGCTCCCCGCCGCTCCGCCCCGGCCCCGGCCCCGGCCCCGGCCCCGGCCCCGCTCCGCGCCCGCCCCCCGCCCCCCGCCCCGCCCCGCCCCGGCCCCGCTGCGGCAGCCGCCGCGGGCAGGAGGAGGTCGGAGGCGGCGGCGCCGGGCGCTGCCATGCGGGCGGGCGGCGGGTGAGGGCGGCGGCGCCCGGTCCCGGTCCCGGACCCGGTCCCGGTCTCGGTCCCGGTCCCGGTCCCGGTCCCGCCCGCGGTCCCGGTCCCGCCCGCGGGAGCCGCCGGGCCGGCGGGGAGCGGCGCGCAGGGCATGCCATCCACCTCGCCCCGATGTTTCACTGGGGCAAGTGGAAGAAGAGGATGGGAGCGAGCGCCTCCTCCTCCAAGAGACCCGTCTTCGACGAGCGGGAGGACGGTGAGTGCGGGCCGGGATGCCCCGGGCCGGGATGCCCCGGGCCGCGATGCCCCGGGCCGGGATGCCCCGGGCCGCGATGCCCCGGGCCGCGCTGCCCCGCACCTGTTGAGCCCCGCTCCGCTCCGCTCCGCTCCGCGGGTCCCACCGCGTCCCACCCGCGGCGGGGGCAGCGGGGCCGAGCCCCCGGTGCGGGGCTGCCGGCCCGGTGTTACGTCCCCGCGGGGACCGCGGAGCCCCCCCCCCCCACCTCCCCGGCAGCCCCGCGGAAACAGGGCGGTGCGATACCGGGTAACCGAGAAGCGGGCGGGGAGGGGACAGTTCAGCGATGGAGCTTCAATCTGTGCGAGGAAGCCTCAGCTTTTAAGAAGGGAAGATCAAGTGCAGCTGGCCATCAAACTTCTGAAAACTACTTGCCGTTGGAAAACGCTGCTTTGTTTTATTTCTCCCCAAATGTGAGCTTTTTATAGAGATGCGCCGTGAAATACCACAGAGGCGTTAGACTTCTAAGGTGCAGGGTGAAATTTCAGAGGAGCAAAGGAAGGAGACTTTGTGAGTGGAGGAAGACTCGGGAGAGGCGTCAGGGCAGCAGGCGGGGTGCTGGATACCCCAGCGGGCAGAGAGCTGGCCCTGGGGCCCCAACCCAGAGCTGGCAACACCCCCCCACCCCCCCCCACGCTGGGGCTGCTGGAATTCTGCACTGGATAAACCTGGAGTGAGATAAACACGTTAATTTGAGCCCTCGGAGCATGGCGATGGTCTAGCTTAGGTGAGCGGTGGCTCTGCGGGCGTCCTCTGGGTGAGGGCGATCCAACCTGCGACTGTCTGTGCTGCTCCCACAGCTGAAGGGGTGTTAAATCAGGGGAACTTTTACTGGAGAAGGAGCTAGTTGGTATCACCACGTATATATTAGCAACTCGGAGTATAACATTGGATTGTTAACCCTTGCATCGCTCGTTGCAGAAGTGTAGAGAAAGCATCAGTTAGGACGACACCTCGCTGCCCAAGGGCCGTGCCGTGCTGTGACTGAACCGTGCAGCAAAATTGCTGTGGGAAGGGACTGCAAAATCCACCCAGCCCCCCCCCGCCCCTTTATACTGATGGGGTGTGTGAGGCGGGGGGGCTGTGGCTGCTGGGTGTGTGCCGCTCCCGCGGGCTCTACCAGAATTTTGTGCTCAAAGTGGAAAATGTGTTTCATCTTGGCTGTGGTGGGTCAGCAGGAACAGGAAGTGAGCCAAGTGAAAACGCTTAAATTGGAGGCTTTGCTACATAATTGGGAGAGCATTTAATTCTGTACTGAGCCCGTATGCAGCCAATATAGGGAAATTGAGCTTTGCAGGTAAATGACCATTGGCAGAAACCTGGTAACATCTCATAACATCTTTTCAAGTGGTGCTTCTGCAATAGCTGGGACTTATTAGGACGTTACTTTACTAATATTGCCTGCTTTTTTTCATCATTGCTTGTTAGTGTGTGCTCAGAGTAATTACAGTGTTGTTCTGGTGAACTCATATTTACTGGCACGGCATGGTTGCTATGGAGATCTCTTAAGACATTCCGATAACTTCCTTACATAAAGAAGCCAGTTAATACTTTGGCCTTGTGTGTGACCTAATGTGGAAGAATTACTAGTGATGACAATTTAAGGTGAAATAAATTTAAAAAGAAAAAAAAGGAAAAAGATAGGTTTGTATATGAAATTTTACCCATAGGTGGATCCCAGTGATGGATATACAAGAATGAGCCTGACTGTCTAAATCCAATGGTTAATCCCTTTTAATTACGTTGGGGTGTATATAAATAGAAGGTTAACATTTATTCTACTGAGTAGTAACACAAGGCCCAGTATTTACCGACAGATAAATAAACTCCAAGCGTGTAGATTTCTGAGGCAAACAAACCCTTACAGTCCTCTTGCCTGACTTCTAGGGACTGGTTTCTGGACTTTGCTGAATTGCTGCCTTTGCTGAATTAGTGGTGTGGCTAAGCCAGAGCGTGGTGGGTTTCCTGGGGGTGGGCAGTAATGTGTGGGCTCTCGGTGTAAAACGCCCGGCCCCGGAGGATTATCCGCTATTAACCTCACAGTTAGAAATCGCCCTTTCTCTCGGTCTGCGTCAGTCCAGCCCCAGCTTCCTGCTGTCGGATCCCACCTTGATAAACCCGAGGAGTTTCTGTTGTCACGCCTGTGTCGGTGTAGCAGCCGGCTGGGTCCGCGGCCGCCCGGCATCCTCGTCGCTGGGATGTGTGGGTTGAGCTCTCCGAGTCCGTGACCCCAGGGTAAACCTCGCATTCCCGAGTCTGTCCTGTGGACCTTCTCCCAGCCCTCCCCGTTATTTTCAGCGTCGTTCCTGCTGGTGCTGGGGCTGAGCTCGGTGCTTTGGCCGGGTCGAGCCCAGGGTGCAGCCCGCATCCTCATCCCCGGCCGTGCGGAGCCCAGGGAGCGGCTGTCCCGCTCCCTCCTCGCTGCCCCGCCGGGGTGCCGCGTCCCCCTTCCCCCGGCTCGGGTGACTTCCCATGGCTGCAGAGCCGGGTGCAGGCCAAGAGTGACCGGCCCTTTGGGCTTCACCTGAGCGGCGGTGGGGGGGACCGTGCATGCTGCTGACACCCCTCAGGTACCGTGCCTGGCTCCAGCGTGCACAGCTTGCCGATTCGTCTGTGCGCGTGCCGCCTTTGAGACGTCGCGGAGTTGGGATCCAACTAGCAGAAAAGCTGACTTTGAAAGGAGAGTGCCTGCGCCTTTCGCCTGCGCTTCCCGAAGGCCCTGGTACGCCAGGGATCGGTTCCCCTCGCTTGGCGAGCGTCGGCTTCAGCTGCTTCCACTGACACAGAAAACTTGGCGTGTTCAGCAGCTGCTGCACAGGCATCGGCCGGGTGCGAGCTCCAGCCCGTCCAGCTGGGGATGCTGCCTACTGATGCCTTTTTGGGGAGGGATGTTGTCTCTGAACAGACAATGTTAATGAATGGGGGAGAAGAAGAAAGAAAAAAAAAAAAAAAAAAAAAGTCAGGCAAAAGATAAAAGATTGTAAAAAGGAGGGAAGAAGAGTGTATGGCAAAGGAATAGAAGGGTTGCAAGGTTGAGCACTCTGAGTTAGTGTGCTGGGGTAAGGTGGCCCCAGTAAGCTGAAGGGGATCGTAGCGGGCTGGTAGATTTATCATTATCACCATGTGCTGTTTTCCATCGGGAAAAATAGGCCTTTGTCTGTAACGGCTTTTTAAGGTTTCTTATTTATACCCGTAAGAACCTTTCAAAAGCTTCTTACCTGGTCAGTGAATGTGTTCTCCGGCAGCGAGGAGGGGCCCGGTGCGGGCGCCAGCAGCAGGCCACGGGGCACGGCAGTCGCAAGGCTTGTTTTTCACGTGGGCAGAAAGTATTTTCCGTTGCCATTCTGGGAAATGGCCGAGCGAGTTTTATTGACACTCCTCCCTTTTTTAATATTTTATTTTCTATACTAAGTGGGGGGAAACCCTATCGTTGTAAAGCCAACAGGAATGCTTTATATTTAAAAATACATTTTATTTAAAAGTATATTTAAATATTGAAAAAAAAAAAAACCAACCCACCATTTAGCAGAGTTGCTAGAACTTGGGAAACAGGGCTGAGTAATAGGAAATACAAGGCATTCTTACACTTAGTGCTATTAGCGTTGCTCACAGTTGTGTTATGTGAAAGAGGGGGAAAAACACATCATGATGTATCTTTATATGCAGTTATACCTAAAGAGGAATTTCAAGAGTGCGTTTTGGTTGTGGCTTCTCCGGAATCAAAGTGGCTTACTAAAAAAGTGTATGTAAATATACATGAGAATATGTAAAGCCATCTGCTGCTTTCTGCTGAGCTGTTCCTTCCTTCTCTTACACCAAGGTGAGTGGTCCGAGGGCTTTCTGCCTGTTTCCTGACACGGAATTAGATTTCCAGCTGATGTACAAGGTTTTAATGCTGCAGCCCAGTTACTTTCATTGTGATTTTTGCCTTGATCACTTCTTTACCCATCCTTTATTTGACTCTCGCTGCCAGAGTGCAGATGGCTTTTTGTAAGGGGGTCAAGTCCAGTCTCCTGGGTTTATCCTAGTTGCATCAAAATCAAATTTTTTCAAAGCAGTTCCCAGTTTTACAGCCCTCAGGTACAGCTCGTGGAGTAGGGCAGTGCGACTCGCAGGAGTGTGTCCTCAGGGTTAGCCTTTGGGTCAGGTGAAATGGCCGTGGGCAGTTGTGTTTCCCCTCTCAGGGAACGATCTCTGAAATTCCTTGGCTCAGGGAGGCACCGGACGGGAGTTTAGGGGAGCAAACCCCCCCCCCCACTGCGGGGGCAGCCGGCAGCGTTCAGGAGGGCGAGGGGTGCCGGGGAGGAGGGGAGCCCCGTCCTGGGAGGGTGCAGAGCTTTGGGGTGGTGGGTGGGTGCGTGCCCCCTCCTCGCCCGGGGCCGGGCTGGCTCCAGGGGCCGTGGGGCACCGTCCTGTGCGCAGGCAGCGACACCCACGCGGGGGGGGGGGGGGGGGCCCGCGGGGCTGAAACTTATCAAAGAGCCACTCTGCGAATGCCCGCTGCGAGCTTCCAAGCTGAGAAATACCGCTCCGTATAAAATGTGTTTCTGCGGTAAAACAAGAAAACTGCTGCCTGTCTCGGTGATGCTTTCCTGGCCGCGCGGTTCGCTGAGGTGCCCGCCCCAGCTGTAGGGCTGTGCTGGGCCCGGGGGGGCTCCTGACGCCCGAGCAGCGCTGGAAGGACAGACCCTGCTCTGCCTCCCCACCAGCCTCTTCCTCGCGGGGCTGGCGGGAGGCTGGGGAGCCTCGGCAGCTGCGTGGCACGGTGCCTGTCCCCATGGAAACGGGCGAGAAGCTGCAAAACCTGGGGGAACGTGCTTAAAATAATCCCCATTTTAATTTCAAACGGTGAGTTGGCAGGCTGTAGGGTTACAGGCGCACCGGAGCGTGCATCCCTCCTGCCTCGCCCTGGCGAGCGAGCACGGGAGCGCTTCATTCCTGGATTGATGCACAGAGAGTGA